TGACGGACAGACGCACCGGCCAATAGAAAGCAGAGCGGGCGCGGGGCGGGAGGGGCCGCTCGGAGGGGCCTGGGGCCATGGCCGGGAGCAGGAGGAACGGTGAGGCCGCGCCGTGAGGGGCGGGGGTGACGGGGGTCGGTCTCGCCGTTCTGCTCCCGGGGCTGGTGACGGAGGGAGCCGGAGGGTGGCGGTGACGGCCGCGGCTGCCCTCAGCCGAGCTGCATTCCGGCCCGGGCGTACCGCGCTGCGCGGCACTCGTTTATTCCTCTCCTTGGCCCCCTTCCCGCGGGAGAAGGCGGTGAGAAGCCGGGCGAGTCTGGCAGGGGCCAGGCGGGTGGACAGAAGTGGCCACGGCGGAGCCTCTCCGCGGGACGGGCGGGGCTCAGGGTGCGCGGGGCCGCGGAGCCGCCGGGGCTGAGCCCTCCCGAGCCCCATCCAACCTCTCTGGCTCGGAGGTGCCGGGGCGGGTCATCTTGCCCTGTATTCCTGCCCGGGGTGGGGGAGAGAGTAAATAAAAATTATTTGTCTAATTACGAAGTAATTTAAGATAACATCCTTTTTTTTTCTCATCGCATACATGCATGGGTCCTTACCTATTGTTAGTGACCATGTATCTTGGTTTATTTAAAGTGAGTTAGCTCACAGGTCTGTAAGAGGTATCTCGTTCTTAAGGAGCGTTGAGTAAGGTTTAGCTGTGAGAGAGCTGAATGTTTGCATCCTGTGCCTGACTTTTGCTTTTTCAGACAGTTCTAGTATCCTGAAACTGGAATACTTCATGGGAGGATACAATTTGATAGTGAGACTGATTGTTTACACGATTTGCTGACAGACTGCAGCTAGAGATAATTTGAAGGAGTTATAAATACACAGTAGTGTTCTCTGTGGTTTGGATGCAGATTTTTGGTGAGAAATGGAGGAGTAACTGTTCTGCTTCTAGGCTTGGGGAATGTGAATTAGAAGTTGATGCTTTCTGGAAGAAAGTGAATTAGGAAGAGTGAGTTCATGCACTTGTGAATGAATGCATGGTTCTAGGGCTGAGAATGGGGGAACTCAATTCTAAAGCATTCAAATTGTTTAAAACTKAAGGTCCGATAAAGAACCAGTTGTTTCGKTAGTGTGTCAGAGAAAGCTRAAATAATCATGCTGAGTGWCTGACTTTACTGTGTAAAGYTGGAAATCATTCATGTTTTAKTCAGCCACTAAGGAGTGATGGCTTAAGATGGGGAAGAAAATACCGTGAGAAATACAAGAATGTCACGTGCTCACCCAGGAGGAAGTAACAAACTTAGAACCTCATCTGATCAGCCTCTGCAGCCTATAGCATACATGAAAACGATTGACTTYCTATTTTGAAACTATATATATTTTTGAAAAGACCGATGTCCTAGAAAGGAAGTGAAAAAGGCTTAACTGCTTCTCTTTAAGGTTGATTTTGCTCTTTTTTGTAAGAGTATATTGAAGATGCTGAAGACAGTTTTGTTTGCATTACAAGTGAACAATGAAGCTTTCTATTTTGTCTGGAACTGGGCCGTAACACAGAATAAATTGGGTGGTCAACAACTTGTAGATCACGGGTGTAATTGTCAGTGAAGACAATCTAAATAGTGAAAAGCCAGTAAAACAGGTAAGTGAAATGCGCTTCATTGTGCCAGGAAAGAGTGGGACAGATGTAGTTAAGAAAATGCTTTTTTTTTCTTTTTTTTTTTTTTTTTTTTTTTGTGGGGCTCTTTTTTTTTTTTTTTTTTTTTTTTTTGCTAATGTACCACTGATTCATGGTAGGGCCAGAGGTACTACCCCTGTCATTCTGTGTATTATCAACAAGCTGTTTATGCAGTCTGGAACAGCTGAACTCATAATTTGTTGCTGTTAAACATTGACATTAGCATCTGGCAGGCTTTAGTCATTCTTGAAAGTTTGTGCCATCCCAAAATAATGCTGTCATAAGGGTTATATAGAGAGTGATGTTCCAGCTGCTGAAGGGTAGAGTTAAGGTATTGATGTAGGCGTAGTGTACATTATAATTGCTAGTTGGAAATGATAGAAAAGTTGTGCTGTACAAAGGATGATCTAGTGGGACAAAAGGAGACTTCCTGGTGGAGAGATTAAACTGGAAAACAAATGGTGATACACATCAGTAACAAACAGTTTTAAACAGAGAATATTGCTTCAGGGAATGCTATTTTCATCTCTTTATGGGGAATCAGATGACTTGGGGCAGGATTATAATGGGGATTGAAATGAGATTGACGTGCCTTTGTTTTTGATTTTGTTGTTTTAATGGGGGTTTTTTAAGTGGCCTTATCATATAAGCATCTTAATTCTTCACCATTTCTTTCCTTTTTCTAATTGTTCAGAGAAATACTGATTGTTAAAGATCTTGAGGTTATTTAAATGCCTTTTTTATTTTTGTTTTTTAAACTTGACATAAATCTTTGGCAAATACTTCGATATTTTACTGGGAAAAAGGATAAACACCTTTTTCTTTTTAAGTAGATGTGTTTTCTTTATCGTATATGTTTATCAGTAAGGGAAATATTAATTGCAAATGGAGTTTGGTGTCTGACACTATTTTTTTTCCTCTGGGAGAGGTATCTTGCTCCCCACCAAATGTGCCCAAAGATTTATTAACATACCAAGATGTAAATTTTACTTGGATTGTAGTTGACTAAATTACAAATAGAGGGTTTTGTGATAAATGTAGAAATTACACTAGATTAATTGTACTTGTCTTTGCCATTGAAACCTTCCATAGAATGGGAAAAAAAAAAGGTTTTGTTACTGACCTTGGTGTTGTGCCTGGATGACAGGTGTAGTCAAAGAGAAGGGCCAACAAGGCAATGAAAGAAGCAGAAATTATGTGTCCAGTGGCTTTCTATTTGGAAAGTCTGCAAGGGGAGCTCATGCTCGCAGAGGGCAGAGCCTGACAATTTGGTCTTTAGGGTTCTGTGTTTTGTGTGGGTGGCTGTTCGGGGTTTTTGGAGTTTTTTTGGGAGATGGAGTGTGTTGGTGTAGGGTTCCTTTGTTTTTAGGAATTTGAAGCAATTCTTACCTACTTTACTCTGAGATAGGGTGGTCCACAAGTGATAGGTGGGGCTGTTTAAACATGCTAGGATACATTTAGGAGCAGGTATGTACTTGTTCTACTTGGTAAAAGTGGTAAGTGGGAGAGATGGTGGTGTGTACCATTAAGGTGTGTTGGCTTGGAGTTATTTTGCCTTTTTATATAATCAGTGTGTAATGCCTTTCATCCAACACTAGTTTTGATCTTGTTATCTATAGATTTCTGGAATCTATGTTAGCTCAGAACAAAGCTGCTCACATACTCAACAGCTACAGGGATGGGGAAAAGAATTGGAAGAGTAAAAGTGAGAAAACTCACTTGTTTGTCAGGGCACTGCTGACGGTCTTGAGCAACTGTTATGGGCTCAACTCTGAGTGGCCAGAATTATGATTATTAATAATCATCATATTCAGCGACATTGYGCTTTAGTAAGGGTGTATGAGATATCTTTAGATGTTTTGAGTGTGGTCTGTTTGATTGTGCCAGGTAAGAACAAGATAATGGTGCAGTATGAGAAACATATTTTTAAGTTTTGTAGAACATGGATAGCCTACATAAATTGAAACTATAGTGAAGATACTCTGTTTTCCCAGGACTGCAGTAACAATGCATATTTTGCAGGGTTTCACTACAAGGCAGACAGGATTCTTATGAACAGTGGAACAAAATCCTGGTGTTCTCATTGTGGTTATGTAGCCTCTTATCATCTTTGTCATGTTGAGTTTATTAGATGTCTTGGAGCTTGTGGCTGCAATTAAGGTGGCCTACTGACAGATCTCTAAAACCTTTGTTGAGACAGGATGGCATGATCTATTAGTCAGATTCTTATTGAGCTACACAGTCATGTAGAATTTGCTGACAGACGTAACACCAGTCTTACTGATTYGAAACTGCGATGTGACAGAGATTGTGCTTGGTCTAGCTGAATCAGTTTTATTTTCTCTTCTTAKCTTAAAAGAATGTTTGCTTTTTCTAGCAATAAATTACTGTTTTGTATTTGCAATTGCTATGAACTGTGTTGGTCTGGAGGCACAYAGGTCAATCTTTGAGTGGCAGATCACTCTGCCTTTGTAATAACTGTTCARTTTAGGTGAATACATAGATATGGGGTGTATAATCACTGTATTCTTTTCCTTTCTTACTTATCAATCCTACTGATGTGTGCCATATACTTAAATAAGCTGTTCAAAAGTCACCTCGCAGAGAGGAGAATTCTGTATTACTGAGTTTTGGATAYAAAGTGGGTTTCTATATGCTATAAAAATTAATGCTAGGCAAAAGGATAAATAGAGACACATTTAATCAACTCCCTTAGAACACAAAGCTGAAGTTTTTTTCCACTGTGGTTCTTGAAATTGTAACAAAGAATAAAACAGGAGTAAAATTTAGACAATTAGCATCCAATTTTTATGTCTAATGGGATATYGAAGACTTATAGATGCTGTTTCAGTGAGAATAGTGTCAGTGATCTTGAGACAAACTTTAATATTGTGAAGTTAATGTTACACACTAGGTATAAAATGATAGCATCTGAGTTTCTTGTGCAGCTCCTTGTGACATTTTGGTTARCAATCAGACTGAGATGCAGACAGCCGATATCTAGTAGGTCAAGTACAGAATTCATGTTACCTTAAATACAACTAAATCCTTCCATTATTTGATTCTCAAATAGTACCCATTAAATATGTTATAGCTTTAGCAGTTAAAATAATCTGTTATGTGTAATGTCAATAAGACTTATTGTAAAACCTGGAAAGAGGAACACTCCACTTTGTGTAGGCATCCTGTGAAGAACTGTACAAACTTTTTCTTTCAAGATATCACTCAAGTTTTGTGAATATAGTAGAACTAAAAGATTGTCTGAGGAACTAGTCAAGTTAAAAATAACCAGTTTGTGATATCAGCATTTCCCTGTGGTATTCCTACCCAGTCTCAATTTTAGAGTTTTGTAGTTCAAAAAACAAAGCCAAAAAAAACAAAACAACCAAGGAACTCACTCTTCTTGACATCTGCTGACACAGTGTTAATGGCTTGTGGG